CCAGAGCGGGGGGGTCAGGGACCATGAAATTCAAAATTTTCCTTTCACCCATACATGCTATATGCCAAAATTGGTTGAAACTGGTTCAGGGCTTCTGAGAAAAAGTTGTGAAAATGTTCAAAAGTTTATGACCAACACACAACGCATGATGAAAACGGATAGCAATTGATCACCTGAATGACTCAGGTGACCTAAAAAACAGACAGTTTTTCCCTATATTTAAACTTTTACCTGATCCTTGATTCAATAAAAAATATTTTCATTCAATAGTGAGAAATCTCTGTAGGGCCCTGACCAGTGTATTTCTAAGCAACACACAGTGAGAAAGCATGGAGTTCTGTCACATGCTGTCTGAGCAAATTGCTTTATGGGGATATAAAGCTATTACCTTTTTTGTAAATTTATCTCAGAAAAAGACATTTGAAAATGTGAATATTTTTTGATTAAAGCTAATACATATGTAGTAAAATATGAAGAAAAAATTGAAATAATAATGTTCATATCTTTTTTATATAGCAGGGCTCTACATTAACGCTTGTCCGCATGTCCGGTACCAGTGAAAAAAAAATTACGGACAAGTGAATATTGCTGGGCACTTGTCTGATTGTACAAGTGCATTTTAATGTAAAGGAGTCTCTAAATAATTAAAAGAACGACTGTTGAAAGTTAATCGGTAGTTTCAAGACGGAAGCTGTACATAAAAACTAGACTTCGATTCACATTCGATCGGGATCGAAGTTCATTAATTGCATACTACTGAAAAGGCATGGATCTTACGAACTTAAACAAAGTTTGGATTCTGTTTGATGTTGACAGGTTCACTTGTGGACATATATGTTGTTGTCAGATAAAATTCCATTTTATGTGTTTGTTGTATTTATCAATAACATCACAAATAAATCAAGCACATGTCATATGTAATGGACTTTATTTTAGTTTTCAAGCACAGGCACTTGGGGTCTGGACACCCCCCCCCCCCTTTTCCATTTTTTTTTCTTTTTAAATATGGGGTCGAGTCACCTTTTTCCTATATTTGTGTTCTAATATGCACTACATGTTATCGATAATGTAACCCTTTTGTCTTTATAAGCTGTTTTTAAATATCTCGTTTTCCGCTGATACATAAAAAGAGAGAAGGCTTGCAACTCTTTTCTCGTCGTCTGCCTCACCTCGCTTAAACTTCGCCTGATCATTTATCTAAAGCATAAGAAAACATGAAATATGCATATGTCAATAAATTTGTTACACATTCTTCTTTCTTTTCATATTTCCATTTAATTTTTATGTGCCCCCGATTTGTAAATATTTCGATTAAATCACCCTCATCTAGGGTAAATTTTGTTGATGTGCACCAGCTGGGACGGAAGTGCCCGGTATTTTCGGGTATCATCATTATGTGTAATGTCATTCGGAACATTAATGCGAGAAGGAATTAATCCCGAATTTTCTCTTCATTTTACATGTAACGGTTAGTTCTGTGTATAACAAGATAACTGTAACTAGCAGATTCTGATGGATGTACATTAATATTTAACATACGACTTAGACAACCAAATTTCACAATATTGTTATTACAAAGCCTGGAATTTTTTCTTAAATGCAGAACATTTGTAAAGTTAGAGTTACCGTTATTGCACTTCCGTCCCAGCTGGTGCACATCAACAAAATTTACCCTAGATGAGGGTGATTTAATCGAAATATTTACAAATCGGGGGCACATAAAAATTAAATGGAAATATGAAAAGAAAGAAGAATGTGTAACAAATTTATTGACATATGCATATTTCATGTTTTCTTATGCTTTAGATAAATGATCAGGCGAAGTTAAAGCGAGGTGAGGCAGACGACGAGAAAAGAGTTGCAAGCCTTCTCTCTTTTTATGTATCAGCGGAAAACGATATATTTAAAAACAGCCTATAGAGACAAAAGGGTTACATTATCGATAACATGTAGTGCATATTAGAACACAAATATAGGAAAAAGGTGACTCGACCCCATATTTAAAAAGAAAAAAAAATGGAAAAGGGGGGGGGGGTGTCCAGACCCCAAGTGCCTGTGTTTTCAAGTTGACAGTATTAGATCTTTATTGAAAAATTTTCAGACAAGTGAAGTTGAAGTTCGGACAAGTAAATGCCTTGGTCACTTGTCCGAATGGACAAGTAAGGAAAAAAGTTAATGTCGAGCCCTGTATAGACAGACCTGTTACCTATAGTGCAGGTGCTGCCTTTGGTTGGGTTGTATGTGGTGTTGATTCATCTATCTATCTAACATCTAAGTGAGGTCTCATTATTTCAAGTTTATGTTTTCTGTATGTACCAATGATCTGTTTGTACTAGGTATGATTGATTCTTCTTACAGGGATTTATCTGTTTATAGAGTTGTCAATATGAAGAAATCCTTTTTCTATATATCCCAACAATTTATGTTTTTGAATTTCAACAGAATATTTTATAGTTTGATACCCATTGCACCATTGTTCAACTAATCAAACTTTATTAAGTGATTTAATGTGGAGTACAGAACTCAATTACAGTGGACCTTCAGATATCAAGGAAATTCAGGTATCTGGATGCTTCACCTATTCGGACGATTTTGACTGGGAACCAAAGCGTCCTGACAAATGAGGCTTCAAAGGTAATAAGTTTCATTAAAACTGAACAAAATCTGTAGGAGTAGCTTTTAGTTGCTTACAGACAGGCAGATCGTCTACAAAGCAAACATACAAATGATGAAAATCTTATCAATGCATTTATTAAGTACTTTGCCAGTGGTGATAAAAAATAAACCTAGCCAATGTTGCTTCTCTTCCTTTAAAAAAATAAATGGAAAGTCCAATAATTCAAAATCATGTTTCTCAAATTAGAAACTCATTATCAAGAACTGTCCGTTGGTATATATACCTTTACCTTGATATATGATCAATGTAAACAATTTATTTTACACTTTTTACAAACACATCATTTTGATTGGTTAGTGATAGTGTTTAAAGTACAAAACATTTAGACTTGATGTATTGCTCATTAACAATGATATCTATAAGCAGGGTTGTCCTTAAGACCTGGGGCCAGGGAATTTCTGCTTCCTTCTATATTTGCATAAAAATTTTGACCCCACATAATGACCCCACCTAGCCCAAAAGGAAACTGAAACTGAATCAATACAACATCAGTATGGTTTTGTCTCAATATGAGCAAATTGTCATTGCTGTTCTGGAGAAGAATTATCAAAGATTTTTATACATTCATATCATTATTTCATTAAGTGTTTTTCATTTAGATTTTAGACTTTATTCAAATGAAAATTTAGAAGCGTCACTTTTTGAGAGATGGTGACAAAAATTGCAATTAACTTATCTGTGGCCATAACGATCTTAATATGGTTCCTATATAGAATGTCCGATTCAGTACGCCGGAACACATCAAGGACACCAAATAATAGACAACTTGGGCAGTTAAGGGGGAGGGGGGTTATATTTTGGTTCCAACTTCCTTTCACATTGACGCTACAGCAAAAGGGGAGGGCAACCACCCTTTCAATGAACATTTTCCATAGTAAAAGGTTATGCTTGGAAAAAAGTAAGCCCCCCCCCCCCCCCCCCCCGGAGTAAATAATCTCTGCTTAAAGCTCCATCCTAACCCCACACTATCCATAATTTGAAGAAAAAAAGATGAATCCACTCAGATGAGGAATTTGAATATATCAATATGATTTAGTGTGGCTCTGCAACTCTTGAAATATTTTTTTTTATAATTTCCTATTTATTTCCAAATAAAAATATGATTCTTTATTGTGGCTCCAACCTACCCCCAGTGATCATAACTGTACAGAGATTAATCTAGGTTTTGGGAGAAACTACCCTTTCTGGAATAATTGGGAAAATCAGCTTGGGGGGGGGGGGGGGGTGTATGGGGGCGGGCTACTCCAGACCCCAGTCGGTGCAGGGCAAGCCCTGCTGGGGAGCCCAACTGAATTTCAGCATTTTTATGACCATTATACATGTACTAGTGCATAAAATAGCAAAGTAAAACCTTATTTCACATCTGATGAAAATTTTTACTTAAATTTCCAGTTTTTAGGAAGGGGAAAAAAAATATTTGAACTTTTTACTATTGTAAGGGGATTTTTTTTACTCATCAAAAAGCGAAAATGGGATATTCAGGGGAAATTTTCTCTTGGAGAAAATATTGAATACCGGTAGTAAATATGCCCTAGATTAATCCCTGCTGGAATAAACTGAATCTGCACTACCTGAGGCAGTTTTGCACATTTTGCTGTTTTTTCTGGGGGGGGGGGGGGGGGGTTTCATGTCAAACTTTTGACTCCCTAAATCCAAAGGGCATGATTTGAATAAAGTTGAATTTGCACTACCTGAGGATGCTTGCATATATTGATAAGCCTAATCATAGCCATACTGTACTTGAGAAGATTTTTAAAGATTATTTCTATATATACTTTGATCCCTTATTGTAGCCCCACACTACCCAGACTTCAATCTGCACTATCTGAGGACCCTTGCATATTAAGACTAAACATTGCCCCATTATTCTTGAGCAGCAGATTTTTAAAGGTTTTTTCCCCTAAATATTCTTATGTAAAACTTTGATCTTTTTTGTGGTCCCACCCTACCCCTGGGGCCAAGATTTGAATCCATTTAAATTTATATTAGTAACCTTGTGTACAAGTTTCATCTTTTGTGGCCCATTGTTTCTTGAGATATTTTAAGACTCTAACCCTAATTTTGCCTTTTTCAAAGAACTATCCTCCCTAAAAAAAAAAAAATGATTAAACTTGAATATCCTTCACCAAAGGATGCTTCATGGCAAGTTTGCCTAAAACTTATCCAGTGATTCTGGAGAAGAAATCAAAAAAGTGAAAAGTTTACAGACAGATGAATAAAATGTGATCAGAAAAGCTCACTTAGGTTTCAGATCAGAAATCTGAAAATTTATGAAACAAGTGACATCAAAATGAAATATATAAACATGCATCTCTATACTCACTTCAACACCTGTTTCCTTTCATCATTTCCAGATGTTTCAGTCTCCTTTGCTGTTTCAGACATTCTATGATGCAAAATTACAATGTTTAAATTGGTTTTTAATTTTTTAAGATGCAAGTTTTAGGGTTTCCAATATTTAACTACTGAATGTCATACTTCTTTCATTTCCTCTGACCTGACACTGTACATGCTGTGCAACCAACAGAAACTACATATAAGTTAAAAAAAGCAGTTGTAATCTTTTTTCTATTAATGTCAATGTATTTTTTTTTCATCAAGTACCTATCTTACATTAATTAATTAGTCATCATATTGGTGCTAATTTTATTCTTTTCACTAATTTTTCTGACGTACACAATTGATAAAATCTTGTTTTGAAAATTTCTGTTATATTAACACATTTAGAACAATCATTTGCTATAGCTAATCAACATCCATTGACATTTTATCAATAAGCATAGATAAAAATATTCTTTCTAGGTGATTTGACAGATGCATCAAAAATTATGGATATTACTCATGTAGATTTTGGCACTCCTTCTATTTGAGTTTGTTAATGGAACATCATGTGAACGACATCTGCACTAAAAATATCCAGGTTGGGAACATTTCTGGTAAAGCAAGAATTTCTTGATAGTGAGACAAATAAAGCCTGCTAAATTCATTGTTGACATACTACAAAAATATATATTCATTCTAAGAAAAAAAAAAACAGGAAAAGTTCAAACCAAGTATTTTTAGATATTAGAATTATAGAAATCTTTTTTGTAGTTTCTGTAGTTGCATTTTTGAGTGAACAATATTTACTGTTGATTGACAGGAAAATGAATACATTACACAATATAATGAAAATCACATTGGAAATGATTAACAGTTCATATCCAAAATGTTCAAACCCTTTCTGTGTAACATTTTTTTTAAAATTGTCATTTACATGTAGTATCATAAATCTTCTTGCTTTAAAGGGTATTTCAATTTTGTCTGTCTGTCTGTCAATGTTTTTTTTTTCAGTTCACACTTTGCCTGGAATGTTCTGAATCTGACAACATGTAATGTTTTACTGAATAGAAGTATGACTGAATAAACAAAAAGTTCATATTGAACTTTAGAGTGGAACTGTCAGCTGATGTTTTAGTGTCAAGCCCTACTCAATCTTACATGCTACTCAGAATTTTACCAACTTTTCACTAATTAAAGTTAAAACTACTAAGTTTTGTACATGGATGACAATAGTTTTCTGTCTAGTGACTAAAGAAGACACCTACCTACTCATAAGCAATATCTATCTTCAGATGAAAGACAGCCATGGAACCATTGGGGTAAATACTGAAAGAGTGCAAGACATTTAAATAAATATGATAAACATATATATTATTCAATTAAAACATATATTATGCAATTAATTACCCCTTACGAGGTCAACATGGTGAAATAAGGACCCTAGACCTGGCCCATGAGATGACATGACCTGACCGAGGCCATGTAGTGGCCAAGGTCAGGTCAAGGGTCCTTATTTCACCATGATGATTTCATGAAGGGTAATAAATTGTTTTTGATATATTGAAATAAAATGAAGATGAAACAATTTTTGAGGTGTGATATTTACAGTGGACGCCCAATATGGCTGTCTAGCGCAGAAAACAAACTTCTAAATGTTGTGGGGGAAATGCTTGATGTAATGATAATGATATACTCTCTCTATTTCAGGTAAATGATGATTAGGTTGACATGTGTTATATCCCAAATAGAGCTACAATTAACATTTTTTTGTATAAATTGAATCAGCTGATTGATCAAACACAGATATGGCAGGAAAAAAATTCACCCACAGAGGTAATTTGAATGGGGCTGATTTTCTTTACCGAATTCATTAGGCCATATGGCTTTGCCATTTGTGAAAAACTAACTGTCCTAAAAGCACTTGAGTCTATTCTATCATACATGCAGATTCAATCATTTGACGATTTAACATCCACAGGTTAAGAGGTTAAAATTCCGTAAAGGTAGTATATTTATTTAACGGTGGCTCGGACCAATTACATGAAGAAAATTACTGGACTTTTGAAATAATTACCGGTTTGCCGGTGGATTTCAAAAACTTGTTTTATCTGCATGTCTAAATTTTCTCAAGCAGAGAGCTACAGTTCTGCAGTTAGTTAAGTAAAATACAATCATCCTCTAGATCTGCAATTATTGTTACTTTGTGGAGCTCTCAGTGAAAAAAAAACAGACATGAAGTATATAGAGATATTTGCTCTACTAATTTTGTTCTAAAATATGTTTCTAATAAATCTATTGTATTTTATAATTTTGGAAAGACAAATACTGACAGGAAAAATATGTTTTATATATATCCTTTATCATCTGCTTGTGACAAGTTAAGCAAATAATCACAGAACTGGCAACAATTTAATATCAAAGTTGAATGCAATTTACAAACACAATAGTCCAGGATTTTTTTTCACCAACACTGCGGCTACTGGAAATAATGTCTATTATAAAATGGTTATATCTCACTTGTATTAATAGTATTTGGTTATGAAATAATGAAGAAAAAACATCAAAATATTTAATATCGGAAACAAATAACACAGTGTGGCTTAATTTTTCATTCGAACTATAGAGCTGAATTTTTCTTTGAAAATTCATTGCCTCATATTTCAGATGTCATCTCACTAATATTTTTATCAATGTCAGTATACTGAATTTTTCTTTAAACAAACTTAGTAAATACACACAACAAAATGCAATATGCACTTCGTCGCATTGGTAATGAGGATTTGACCATCTGCCAAGAGAACGATTTTCACACCTACTTCTACGCCAGTTGATAATCTACAAGATGTCAACATGTTAATCTTCAAGAAAATATTGTGAAGATCTAAATGACATAACTGAACATTAATGACAATCACATTTACTAATAAAATATTACGAACAACTTCGCAGCATACACTGACCTACCACAAAACAAGCCGCCATATTGGAAATTGACTTCATTTGCATATCTCGTAACTTATCGCAGAAACATTTTCTTCGACGAATGCGTATTTGCAACAAATGATCAGTTAGCATTGGCAAAAATGGCGCCTGAGTGCAGACTGGTAAAGATTCTACATATATTGCTCATAAAAATGCCAAAAATCGCAAATTTTTAGTTCATGCATAGCTCAGCTCATTAAGTGACCGGAAGTTGAATTTATAATATTCGAAACACACGTGTACTGTTAGACGAAATCATATAACGTTAGGCGCCTAATGGCGATGATTATTAGACTCTGTGTTATAATCCTTTTCTGTTTGTATAAAATTAAAAAAAAATGCATAATAAACCAGAGTAACCTTGGCTGGACTGTTGTTTTAAAAAAAAATCCCGCCCCTATGTACAACGTAAAAATCCAATGAAAATTTTGACCTCATAATATGACCCCTTCCTAGCTCCATGGATCTTTACCAAATTTGAATCCATGCTACACAGGGATTCTAATTATCATATTACTGATGCGACCACGCTGATCTAGAGAAGATTTTTAAAAACTATTTTTCCTTCTATTCATATACAGTGTTAACCATTTTAAATTCTTGTGAAAACTTTATTTTTCAAACTATAACCACAACAATTCACTTAAATGATCTTGAGCATTTTTATAAATTTATTTGCGGATACAGTTTGAAAAATCTTGAAAGATTGGACTCTGTTTTGTTTGTTTTCACGATTCCACGTTCATTCATCAAAAAAGTGTAAAAGAAGTGTTCTATAAATGACTCCCATTATGACCTTAAAGCATACTGATCGATTTATATTTACATTTCCAAAAATTTTCCTTAAGAATCTTATTTGAAAATTAGAAAAAAGTTCATGTTCTTAACTACCGCGGGATGAGTAAGAAAATTTCCATTGTGATGTGATTGAAGTAAAAAAAAAAAATGTGCACACTTTAAAAAAAAAAAAAAAAAGATCGTTGAATGACAAAAATATGTGGCAAGTCATCAGAAAAATAATGTAAATATAACGATGAAAAACCGTTGACAAAGACCACTCTTAACCAGAAAAACAACATTTGTAAAATTTCATTAGGCTGGCCTTGCCTGTCTGATATGCGCGATGTTAACCCGAAAAATCACTATATACTACAAAAAAAAAAAGACTATAAAACTTGGCCAACGAATTTCTTCGTAACAAAATAAATAAACAATCCTCGGATACAATACACATGGCCGTAGGAACCGGGGGGGGGGGGGGGGGGGCACGGGGGGCCGTGCTCTCTCCCCCCCAATAATTTCGCCTATATATAGATTACTATAGAAAACATAGATACTATATGCTTGTGTTCCCTCAATAAAAAGGTCAGATGAGCTTTTTTTTTTTTTTTTTTTTTTTGCTTGTCAAGAAATTTTGGTAGTTGATACATGTAGTGCCCCCTCAACTGAAAATGTATGGCTGTGCCCCCCCCCCCCCCCAACTGAAATTGCTTCCTACGGGATACAATTTATGAAAAATTATCGAATACAAATAAGAAATTTTACAATACAAATAAGAAATTATATAATGCAAATGGAAAATATAGAATACAAATTAAAAAAATATATACAATGCAAATGAATTTTTTCACTATACAAATGGAAAATAAAGAAAACAAATATATTTGCTAAATACAACTCAAATGGAAAATTATACAATACAAATGGAAAATTATACAATACAAATGAAAAAGATCGAATATTGCAACGTTTCATATGCCATAGGTTAAAAAGGGGAATTATAAACTTTAGTTAGAATATAGGTCCCTAGCTTAGAAAAGTTTTCTTAATATTATATTCTAGACCAAGATAAAGTAATTGTATATATTAGTGTACCTATTATGTATTTTGGTATAGTACTTGCGGGCAGTTTAAGGCAAGAAATACAATGTTTAAAAAAAACATAGTACACTTATATTTATAAACTCTATAAGCTTGTAGTCTGTAATTTGGATATAGATGCCTTACTATATAGTAAACTTTAATTACAGAAACAAGTGCCTATTCATGTGCACTTATTACAAATAATGTTGATTTAACGAAGCTTTATTTTAAAAAAATATTCTTCAGATCATATCAAGAACTTCGTCAATAAGGTCTATTTCTACACTAATCTACACAGCACATGTTTGGAAGGATTAAAATAGGCGATGAACATGTTTCATTATGCCCTGGATATAGAATGTTTGGATGGTCAGCTGCTAGACTGCGACACAAAACTAACAAAGTGCATCTATGGAAAAATTGATCCTCATGGATGACGATCGGATCACAAAGAAAATATTTATGGCGTCTTGTAATGAAAATAATTCTCGAGGCTGGTATCATCATATGAAGATTCTTTTTGAAAACACAGAGATTTAAACTACATTTTCCAAACATGCAGTTTTGTGACATTCAATTTTTTTTATTCAGAAACAACTTTCAAATCAACAATCCAAATGACAATCTGATATTCAAAATCTGCAAAATTACTGGCGCACTGCATTATTAAGGAAGAATACAGGCTTGAACAATACGTTGCGATGGACTTGCCAAAATCAGTTACTGACAGTTAGGTCTACACTGGCGCAATATTCCGGTGTTGGGTGCTCCCACTGCGTATCGAGACTGGTCACTATCGAGGAGAACCAATTCTAGACAGAGTATGTAGTCTTTGTGATTTGCACGAAGTAGAAGATGAAATTCATTTCCTATTAAAATGTAATCTTTATAAAAACTGTAGACATGCACGATTTTCTATGAAATGTTGGAATTTTAAATTTACATAATAATGATTAAACTGTTCTTTTTAAATATCTATTAACTCATTTCCCACGCCAAACTGCGAGTTTCATATATATGAAGCATATAATATAAGACAACACTGTAGGAAATGTGTTTACAATTCAAACACTTTCCTAAACACTTTGTTGTCAATTCCTTTTTTTATATGTTTAATTCCTAAACATGTAAAATTTCTAAACATATCTTAGAAAGTGTTTAGAATTTAAACACTTGTGTGCTTAGAAATTAAACATATCTAAACACATAAACACAAGTGTTTAAATTCTAAACACATAACTTGTACCTAATTTGTACCTGCAGAAAAACAAAACACTCTCGTAAATTTAGGCACAAAAAATATATTTTTTTCAATGTCAAAATTTTCAAAATATGTAACCGATATTTTCCATAAAGCCACTGAACGTTGGGATATGTATTTAATTATGCAATACAATGGACACTGTGCGATTTACATGTACTTAATTTACACAAATAATGTAG